AAAAAAAAAAAAAAAAAAAAAAAAAAAAACTGCCGCTGCGAAGGCCGAGACAGGGGCGCCTACCTTATTCACACGAATACAACGTACGGTCATTACAGCTGGATTTGGGGTATCTTGTCAGTCTATAAATACAGGAGTAATGACCGGAGGTTGTGTTAGATGTGAAGGAAGGGTAGTGGCTAACACTGGCTACTGTCATGGTCAGCAGGGCCTGTGAGAGAGAGGGGGCGAGGTAGCACTTGGAATTGGAAAGAGGATTGGATTGGACGCCGGAATCTGGAACTACTGACAAAAGTGACCACAATTAACATAACCACAGTCAGAGTATCAAACAGAAAACCCCACGAAGCATCAAACATTTCTGACAAAATCCATGGTGCGAATTTGATATAACAAGCACTGGCTCCCAGTGCAACCTCATAAAAAGCTATGAAACACAGACCTGAAGAAATTGAAACACAAGTGGTTGTTACCAAGGCAGTCCCTCGTGAACCAAGAAAGCGACCAAACACGCCTGCTACTAAACTACCGAGTAGAGGTAAGACTACAATAAGTAAATACATATTTCAAATCTTTTTTTTTGATTGACGATCGTGATAGTTGATTCCGTAGAAAACTCTTGAAAATCAATCATTGCACAATGTGGCTTAAAGCATCCAACTCACCCAATTGGGACCAACTCGATGGGGACCGCAGCATGTTGGAAAAGAGCGGGAAAAGACTCGCGAGCTATTCGGTCTATGGTGAAGTTGGTCTGGAATCTGAAGTCAAAACTCTCGACTGAAGTCCAAGGAATTTTGCCCCAGTAATCTGTTTGAACGTTTAAATACATTCTACTCATATTTCAATTCACAAGTACTACATAAATCCTAAGTCTCCAATTAAGTGGGGCTTATTAGAGAATCCTCTTCCTATCCAACGTATATATAGCTTGGCTAGCCTACCTCTTTCTCTGGTCCAGCATATAGCGAAGTGATTGAACTCTCATGTTGCCGTGAGAGGGACCCATCTTGAGCCTAAGTATACGTTTTTGTTGCTAATTTTTGAACAGGCAGATTACCATAAAAAATAGATAACTTTTTAATCGCTTGTAATTTTTGTGAAAATTCACCGACCTTGTTTGTTTTTTTTCGGGCCTTCGAAATATTTTTTTTTTTGTTTTCGAGTAAGTTTTTTTGTTTGCCAAACATTTTCCAAAATTTGTCGACAAGTTTTAAATTTTGATACGCGCATTTGATTTATCTCAGTTTTTGTGGAAAGATGGATAAATTCGAGATTGAACTGCTTTTCTGCATCTCTGCTTAAAACACGACCAGTTTCAGAAGGAGCTTAATCCAATCCTCTTTGCTAGAGGGCTTTTGCCCCAGAGGGCGGGTGCTCTTCTTCTTCCTCTTCTTTGATGTTTGGACTTGTAGAAAGCCGCACTGGCTTGTGGTGAACTCTACTTTTGTCTTTTTTTCGTGTCTCTTATATATATATATATATATATCTGTTTTGTTGCCCTCTGTTCTGTTTTATTTGGCTGTTCCCTGCCTCTCTTCTTTGCCTCTTTGCCTTTTGGCCATAGCTACAATCCGGACCACCGGACAGGGATCCGGGCCGTCCGTGGTCCGGGGTCCGGGTCCGGATCTTGGTCCAGATGCGAGGGTCCCAACCCAATGGCCAAAAATTTTTTGGGTGGTCCAAGGTGTTTGTTCACGCCCTGGGCCACCCCAAAAAAATAGTGCCTTATTTTTTACCACCCTCACCGACGATCCAGACGGCCCGGAAAGTCTACGAGGGGGTTTGTACATCTGAGTATTAATGTCCTCATTGTGTCCAGCCTCTTTTCAGAAGGATCCCTCTAGCGTATTAGCTGGGACCCTACGTCATGCAGAGGTGCAACTCAAACGTGTCCTTTGTGAGCGTGGGCAGAGAATATATAGTATATATTCAAATTCAGGTCTGTGCATCTCGGTTATGGGTCACTATTTCTCTGTTTTCTCATTTTGCTTTCCTTTTCTCGTTTTTCTTTTCTTCTCTCGTTTTTCTTTTCTTTTCTCGTTTTTCTTTTCTTCTCTCGTTTTTCTTTTCTTTTCTCGTTTTTCTTTTCTTTTCTCGTTTTTCTTTTCTTAGGAATACGTGCAGTGACCCTAAGGGCCTCTACTCACCAAATGCACAAAAGACAAAACATATGGTGGCGTATTATTCCACGTTCTGCAGAAGATTCATTCAAATTTTGCACATTTCGTGAGTAGTGCAGCCAAGCCCTAAGACTCACGTGCAGAGACCAACAGGTCCTAGCTACGCGAGCAACCCATAACTGCTGAAACACAGACCTGAACTCGAATCTTGAGTATATATTCGGGCCGTCATACTCTACTTCATATCGCTGCCTGCCTCGATTTTTGGAGGGGTCTGCGCTACATGGGTGCGAGGATCCTTCAGATAGCCTGCATGGGCCGTGTTAAGGGGATCCGTTGCGCTCTCTCTCTCTCTCTCTCTCTCTCTCTCTCTCTCCCCTCCCCCTGTATAGACACACACCCCTTAAAAAAAAAAAAATATATGTGCCACATCACTAATTTGCACATGGCGTAGCTAGGCCCTGTATACACACACACCCCTTACACCACAGCTACAACAAGAAGGAGGGGGAGGAGTAGGGGGAAAACTATAGGAGGACGAGACAAGAGGCAAAGTTCATGACGAGGAGTAGGAGGAGTACAGGCGTGGTTTTTTTTTTTTGTTTTTTTTTTTTCCCTTTTTTCCGAACAATGTAAGGGATCCGGACCGCAATCCGGACATGGGATCCGGACTGGTCCGGATATTCCGGAATATTCCGGTTTTCCGGAAGTCGGGAAGGGCCCGGGAGGTCCGGGGTCCGGGGTCCGGATTCGGTCCGGTGTCCGGTCCAGCGTAGCTATGCTTTTGGCTGTGTGCAAGTGGGTGGATATGACACACGGGGGTGGGGGCAGCCGCCGCTCAACCTACATCCACGTGGGCGGCCTTGTACGCAAGAGGTTCTGAACAGGGGGAGTTGTAAGGAAGAAGTTAAAAAAATGAATTTATTTTTCTTGTTTCTGTTTTTCGCTTTGGCGCTCTGATATATATGTTTAAAAGATGTTTGTTTCCCTTCTTTCTCTCCTTTCTTTTATCTATTTTTTCCTTTTTTTTTCCCTCTCTCTTGTTTTTCTTTCCCTCTCTCTTTTTTTTCTTTCCCTTTTGGTTATTTCAAGGTTCCCACGGGCTCTTCAGCAGAGTTATTTCATAAGAGTTTTGTTTACTTTAATCAAATTTAATGTGCTTTTTTAGCGCGTTTTAGGTCATGAATTCTGTTTGAGACCTTCAGACACGTTGCGATTTCCATTTTGAGTGCCTTTGGAATTTCTAGCGCATTTTGAAAATTAGTAAAGCAAAAACAAATATTCGTACTCTTCAAATTGGCTGCTTTGTGTACCCTACATCTATATGACCCTTTTTTTTTCTTATATATATATATATTTATATGACCCTTTATTTCGGCCATGCGGGTCCTCAATCTGTGGCTGCAGGAGAATGTCGTGAAGCGGGCGCTAGATGTCGACCATACCAACTCACAGTACAACAAAGGAAAAACAGAGTGAGACGATAAATTTTTAATTTTTCATCCAGAGAAAAAAAAAACACAAACTAACTGTTGCGCTTACTGTCAATCTAGGCTACCAGAGTTGCCCGGGGTCACTTGCCCGGCCGGGCCAATATATATATATATTTCTTTGTTTCGTGGATGTTTTGCTGGCTTGTGATGGGGTGTGAACCGACAGTCTGTAGAGTTTGGTGTGGGTGAGTGGTAGTCTACTTTGATTTTGGTTAAGGTAGATTATCATTTACAGTGTAATCAGTGAGGGGATTCTGCTGACTGTCGAGGGTTCAGCCTTCTGATGAGTCGGTGAAACTCCAATTGCTCGTAGCTAAATATGAATTAAAACGCATGCTCACAGCCCCTCGTTTGTTGTCCTCTTCTCTCTCTCTGCCTACGGGGCAGTTCTGTTTGTGACGATATACCCCTTGGGGATGCGTTCGGCCGTTCGGGCCGAACGGCCGAACG